AACGACTTGTTGTACCGGTTGACGAGTGGATGGTTGCGCCGGATCTGAAGCAAGCCATCCTCTGTGAACCCTGTCTCCTCGAAGATCTTCCACGGTGCCTTGAAGCGGCAGGCTGTCCGTCTCTGTTGATCTGCCCCTGTTCGATGACCCTTTAGAGAATACTTAAGGCAGGTGTGTGTGGGTGCGGAAGTGGATGGCGAAAGATCTTCAAAGGCCGAAGTGAGAGCCAAGGTGCCTCATGACCTCCTCCACGGGTTCGATGGGCTTCCTCATTGTCGCACGGCTTTTCCGGCATCTTCATCTAGGCACTCATGAAAGACGGAGTCTATGTATCGGATCACCTGGGCACGATACGATTCTTCCGCGGGATTGGCCATGTCGTCCATCAGGTTCGGTAACCGCATGTTGCCGTCCAGCCAGAGGAGTCCATGCAAGTGGAGGCTGCCTCGCTCGTTCGTTTCACCGTGGCGTAGTAGTGGCTGATCTTCCGAAGATCGATTCCTGGCCTGTGTTCACGTATTTGTCAAAGAATAGAGATATTTCGGTGGAAGAAGATGGCCGAGCTGACCGGATCCATGGTGCTGAGGGCGATTCTGTCGTACCTTTCACGGAGATCGGCCAAAAGCTCCTTTGCAGACTCATAATCATGGAGCCTATGAATGGCAAGCTTCATCTTTACCGGATTATTTATGTCGTTGGGACTGATGGTAATCCAGATTGCAGGCATACCGGCCCAAATGTCCAGAGCTTGGATCTTCCTCCGCATAAGCAGACGGGATTCGTTGGAGAGTGGCTGTGCATGACCAAAATCGACAGCTCGCGGAGCAAGAGCGATATGTCGGGGTCCGACGTAGTCCTTGTCTCCTATCTCCGCCTCGGCCTCTTCAGTCGGTCCTCGGTCAAGTTCGCAGGCCTGCTCAAACCTGTTGAAGGAATCTTTAGCGACACGAACCATGCTGATGCGGCGGTTGGAGGAGCGGAGGAGGGTGTTGAATACTAAGAAACAAAAGACAGGATGGGTGGCGAACCGGCCTCCATGCCGTTGCAATACGTATTTGGCCCAGTAATTAAGCGAGTGATTCGGACGACGGTCGGCAGGGCCGCCTTGTCGTCTGTGACTCGAGTCGCACTTCGATTTCGGGCCGCCCTTCCCACGGAAAAGCTTCGGAAATGTTCGAGGAAGAAATCTTCGTGCAGGTTGTCTGCAAAATCCGCACCACGCTCTACTCGGACAAACGGCTGGTCTCCCGTAGTTTGACCTGCATAACGCACAGCACAGAGTTGCCATGTCGATCCGGATTGGCGTTGACGATGTCGGCCAGAAACGACAGTTTATCGGACTCGGCGAAGGCAGCCGGACCATCGAGAGGAAACATGCCGGATGTAGACGTCTCACAGACAGTGTCCACTTCCTGGCCGATGGCAGCCGAGTCGGGGACAAGAGTCACCGGCTCACCAGGAGAGGGTTGAGTCTGCTCGGTCGACAGAGTACAGTTCAAATCGCAAGATTCGGCGATGAAAGTAGGATCGATCGAGTTCACCAGTTCATCGATGCTTCTAAAGCTGTTTTCCTGCAAGCCTCGATCGGTGTCCGGGACTATGTGGTCCGTTTGTGTCTTCTCAACAGTCGACGGTTCTCTCTTCGCATGCGGTCCATGATGACGGTCGGAACAGTGGAGCCGTCGGCATACTGCCAGCCGTCCATCTCTGCTTGGTTGATTGCGATACCCTCATAAAGCGGGTTGTTCCTGTAGCCATGCCAAGGCAGCTGCCACTGAGATTTGCGCACCTGAAGCAGGTTTCTGACGTCTGCGGAGCCAGGCTTAGCCGAACCGCTCCAAGAGACGTGAATGTTCTCGATGGCCTGCAGCAAGGGATGAGGAAGAACCGTGGCCACGAGATCGTCCACTTTGTTCGGAAAGACGACAATATGTCCTTTCACGTGCTTGCGGTAACTGATTCCCGAACGGGTCTTGTTGTCGACGGTGAACTTAGTGATATAGCCAAAAGGTGCATGCAGGGCAATGAGTCTCTTCGACGGGAGAGAGGTCAGCTCTTCGGGTACCGGTGCTCACAACCGATGGCCATGTTGTTGACCGAGCAGGCCTTAGGCAGCCGCCCACTGTCGAAGCTGGCGCGACACTGCACACGTCAACTCCGGCGCCCTCGTGCGACGGAAGGCACGCATCACACTCCTGGAGAGCCATGGCCGTCTGCAGCAAGGGTGACAGACGACCCTCCACTGCATGGTGGTGAGTTCGCAAGGCGATGTCTTCCTGTAGCAGAAGACGCAGTGGAGACCGGCAACGTCCTCTCGTCCGTAAACGCTTGGTAGAAAGACTTGGAGGCCTCAACCTGAAGGGCAAGTGGAACTTCGTGGCACCAGGATCGCGTTGATGACGCAAGCCCTTGACGCGGAAACAGGCGTCATAGTGATGTAGAGTGGACTCGACAGAGTCCCGCTGGAGTTGAACGGTTTCTCGCATCGGCGGGGCCTTTTGGGGCGCCTTGGCTGCGTGGGCGGTGGAGGAAGTGCTTGCTCTTCTCAGGTCGTTTTGGTGATGGAGTGGCTGGCGGCTGCGTGTGTGCGGCATATTGGTATTGAGCTTCACGGCGGCGGGTTTGGTCTTCGGCGCGCCGGCGATCCATATCGTGCAAGACACGGAGGATCTCGTCATGGGGAACTCTGACAGTCTGTGACCGGCGCTGATAGGACCGGCGCGATTCAAGATCCCTTAAGGTGCGGCGAACCTCTTCGTGAGACCGTGGCTGTGTTCTCGCGGCATGGTGCAAGGGGATGGTTCCGAACGAGTGCATGGAAGAAGGAAAGAAACAGTCTATTACTGGCACCTGGGAGCAAGACGGCGACCACGACATGTGATCGAGAAACTCAGCAAAGGTTTCGAATGCTCATGGACGGGGTAGTCTGCCGAAGCTCAGAGGTGCTTGCGTGAAGGATAGATGGGCAGACGGAGACGTCGGGTTCATGGCTCCGCTATCGCAGGGGATGGCGGCGGTTACGAAGTGAGGGGCTTAGGGTTAGAAGCATCCCGCAAAACGGGAGGGCCAATCATGTGTTGTACGGTTCTTGGCGGGTGGATGGCGTCCTTGCCCATACGACAAGGGCCCCATGACGTCGATTTCGGGGTAGACCGTCTCCCAGCACAGGATCCGTATCCAAATGGACAATCGGGGCCGGGCTGACCATGGTCGAAGTAGGGCTCCGGCCCGGGTAGCGCTGGCAGCGGGGCCGGCGGCCGGAGCCGGAGCGGTCAACGCGGGCGGTGGAGGCGAGAACGGAAAAGAGGAGAGTTGTGTGTGGCTCGGGAAAGGCATGAAGCCGAGTGGAAGGTGGCGGTGAAGGCTGGCGCAGCTCGCACGCGCCAAGTGGCCCGAGCTTACGGAGGGGCGGAAGAAGGATCTTTCGTCTCTTCGTTCCTCAGGCACAAGGCACGGGCGCTGGTGGCCCAAGCTGACGGAGGTGGCGGAAGAAGGATCCTTTCGTCTCTTCGTTCCTCAAGGCACCTCAGCAGGACAGGAGACCGGCCCTTTCAGGGTCCGCCAATGCCTTGAGGAACGGGACTGAATTTGGTTCCACACTGGCAGGTCTGCTGAGACGATGAGGCTTGCTCCCGGTAGTGTGGCTGCTTGACGCCATTTTACCCCGCCACAACAAGGTGGGTTGAGGGCGGCGGGGTAAGAACGCGGAGGTAACTTGTAAGGGCCATCATCTCGAAGGGCAAAGGAGTCTGAACTGTTCGCGAATCATGCAGAAGTGTAACAGTTTGTTAAGAATCGACTCAATGCCTCCGATTGATTACTCAAAGTGGGACAACATCGACACCGATTCGGAGCCAGAGGCATCGCCCCAGCAAGCGCCAGCAGCAAACCCACCCGCCGCCCACGCATGCCTCGCCGCCGATGGGTACATCAGGTTTGAGGGAAACGCACAGCAAGTCGGGGCATGTCGAAGCTGTCATTGTCCGATGTGAGGCCGAGAAACGCAAGTTTCCCTTTGGTCTGCCACTACAATCCCTGCGAATCATGTCGTGTTTAGTCGGTGCCGTCCGTCCCAGGCTCATCGAGGTCCCGCTGGTCCTGGATCGGACGGGGACTCAGTCCGTCAACGAGGCAGACCTCGACAACCAGATTGCTACGTACCTCAATATTGATGCCAACTCCGGGTTTGCACCTCCAGACTGGCAGTCACAAGTTGGCACCGTCGTGGTCGCGCGCAAGGAAGCCATTTTATCCGCATCTCGAAGGAGTGTGGATGTTCTGCGACCATATCCTGGACCTGTTCGGGGAAGGAGACGGGCCGCCGAGGTGGCTTTACAGCCGCCAGGCGTTCGAGGAATGGTGGGTAAATTATTGTGAGGAGCAAAGCGCTTACGTCCAGGGAAGGGAGGGGCGAGATCCGGACGACTGGCGTGCGGTCCGGTCACCTTATGAAGTGTAGGACGTCTACGTGCCGCGTTACGACGTGCGAAAGGTCAAACTATAAGGATGGTTAGTATACTAGCACTACTTTTCGAAACCTTGGTCCTTGTATAACCGTTCCTTTCCGCGGCCAAGTTCTTGAGTCTCTGCATTCCATCAAGAATGGCCTGATCGAGCCCATTGCCAATGAAGTCATGGTGTCTCACGGGATTAAGAAGCTTGATGCCCGAAGCGAGGTGCACCTGGATAGTTGCACATAGAGGCTCGTAAAATCGCACTTGGAGGGTTCACCATTGGTCACACGATTTCACGCAGCTCCAACAGTACTTCGACGAATGTTTTACCCTGGGCTTTGTAATCAGTGAGAACGAACGCTGGTACAGCGGGCAGTCCACGTCGCGTGCATCTTGCGGATAAGAACTTGAAGTGAGAGTTAGTCGAATCAAGTGTATGCGACATGGGCCGGATAAGTACTGTCCCCACCGGGGGGGACGGTATCGCCAAGGTCTTCGTCTCCTCGGACTGCAGAAGAATGCCGAGCGGCGGCCCGAAGTGGATGGTCACGCCATCTGCCAAGCAGTATCCCGGGTGATTGGGATCGATTATCACGTCCACGGCAGTAAAGTCAGCCCCATTCACCACCTTCAGGCCAGTGTAGATGTTCTTGTTCACAACCACGGGCATGCCCTGGGCGTAGAAGAAGACGCCGGGGACTTTGCAGGCAGAGTCGTCGCCTTGTCCGATGGTTCGCGCCATGAGGTTTGGAGACAGCGTGCCGTTGCGCCAGGTGTGAGTCGAGACAAAGATACGGATGTGCCGCTTGTTGAAGCGCGCCCAGCCCACAACAGCTTCCATGTTGAGGGCCCACCGGGTGCGGTTCAGCGGCGTTATAGCGCAAACCATCGTGGAAGGTGATTTGCGAGCGTCCTACAATGTTGGCATTGAGCAAGCTCAGATCTTCATGGGTCTGGCGCCCGTTACGAACTCGATCCAGGAGTGCACGGAGCTGGGGATCGTTGCGTGCGCGGACTTGGTCTTCGAGGAGCACCACGGTTTTGAACAGATGCCACAACCTGCAGCCGCTGTGGTGAGATATGGTCGCTTGTCGCAAGGGGTCTCTGTTCGGTCCGGCGGTCTGATGATCAGTAGGCTTGTCTCCGCACGGGGGCGAACTGTAGAAGTCTCCCATCAGTAGAACGACGGGCATCCCGCCAAACGGAGTCGTCCGGACAGTCACGGAGTGCCTGCAGGTAATGACTGACGTTGTGCAGAGTGGCCTCCCAGCATACTGACCTCGTCAATGACGAGCACCAGCTTCTGTTTCCAGATCCACTTCTTCGCCTGAGAAGGGGGAGGCGGTTTGTTTGGATCGCGATGGGAATCCAACCCACAGGCCGAGTGGATGGTCGTGCCAATCTGGGCCGCCGAACTGCCCGACGTGCCGGTTATCTGCAGAAGATGCGGCTGGTTCCTCGCCGCTAACACGTCCTTCAGGGCATCGATAATCCTCGACTTTCCTGTGCCACCCGGCCCGCCGGTGTATTGAAGATGCTGACCGGCTGAGTCCGGATTGGCAGTATACTTGTCCAGAAACCGGCAAACGAGTTGAAGGGCCATGGTCTGTAGATAGTTCAGTGTAAAGCTGGCCGCGGCGGTGTGTCCCATCTCCGCGAAGCTAGTTGCCGGACTGACGTCGACAAGCATCCGAGGGCCTCGTTCATTGAGGTCGCTGCCGGGAGCCCAGCAGGGTCCATCGCCGTAGCGAGCTAGCGTATCGTCGATGTCGGCGCCATCCGCGGAAAGCATGGCCCCTGGGAACCACCTCATGTCGTCAGCATCCGAAGATGCAATAGTTGTTGGGCCTTGGCCGCTGCCTGGACATCGTCTCGAGATATGGGAGACACAAGGCGTCACCTTGATCATGGGGCATATTCCGGTACAGATCCTCTTGACGTTGGACAAAAGGTTGCTCTTCTCCAGCCGGGTTCTCTTCGCACAGATCGTGTATTAAACCTCCGCGACGGAGTCCGTGCGCACGGCAAAAATCTGGAGTAGAGCTCAGGCCTGACGATGAGCCATCGCTGGAGGCTCTTCTTCGTATCGGCCATCGTCAAGCGGGTACTCAACGTCAATTGTGTCGTCGCCCTCCGACCGACTGGCCCAGAGCTTCGCGTCCTTACGCGCGTCTTCGGCAGACTTTCTCAAAAGAAATGTTAGAGACGTAGAAACGGAGGCGGGGGCCCGCTCGATGCGTCGTCCATATGTCGGTTATATCGCCAGGCTCAGAAATGAAGTTTTCCGGGACGAATAACGCCAAATGTAGGACAGGGTTTCTACACAGAGTGTCAGACGGAGCCAAAACGGTGCCGGGGTTAGAGCGTACCGCTTAATATAGACTGGGTGATCGTCCTCGTGGTCGTCGCTGATGTATCCTTGGAAGATCGGGACGGCGTACTGGTCGGGCCGTCGAAGCTTTGCATCCAGCCTTCACAGTCTGAATCCTGGCCATCGAGAAAATGTGAGAGTCATCTTCACTCCGACCATTTCGACGCACCAAGTGAATCATTGACATGTAGTCATACAGGCATAAGATCTTGTAGAACATGACCGCGGTAGGCGTACGCCTCCAGGCATAATAGGGTTCGCCCTCCTGCCTCAGAGGGATTGTCTCTGGGGCTGTTCGGCGTCCGTGAGCTCGCCGGCCTGATGGCGGAGATGCGCCCATAGCCGAAAGATTGTCCAGCAGGGCCGTCAAGTTCAAGAAGGACCAATGCGGCACGTTGGTAAAGTCGGTGTCATATCCAAGGAGGTGGTAAACAAACAGCCGAGAGTTGTCGCTCGAGAAGATGCGATTTGCCGTTCACATCAGGAATTGACGGCTTTCGTTCAATACCGCCTGCTGCCTGCCGTCGGGCAGGGCGGGACCTGGCGCGCGAGACGTCGGACGACCGGCCTCGCGAAGTTGGCGGGCAACCTCGGTGGCGAGAGCAATGCGCTTCCACATCGGCGTATCCAGTTTGGTGGCGTAGTTCGTGATGTAGTACACCGCGCCAGGCCCTGGTCTTGGTCAAGATCATCGAGACGTCGTGATTGTGGCGAAGGCCGACCGCCAACGACTTGTTGTACCGGTTGACGAGTGGATGGTTGCGCTGAATCTGAAGCAAGCCATCCTCTGAACCCTCCCTTCGATTTTCCACGGTGCCTTGAAGCGGCAGGCTGTCCGTCTCTGTTGATCTGCCCCGGTCGATGACCCTTCAGAGAATACGGAGGCAGGTGTATGGGGAGTGCACTTGGCAACAGTATGCGATGAAATTGATTCGTCTTCAAAGGCCGCAGTGAGAGCGAGGTGCTAGTCATGACCTCCCACGGGATCGATGGGCTTCCTCTGCTGTCGCACGGCTTTCCGGCATCTTCATCTAGACACTATGAAAGACGGAGTCTGCGTATCGGATCACCTGGGCATGATATGATTCTTCCGCGGATTGGCCATGTCGTCTATCAGGTTCGGTAATCGCATGTTGCCGTCCAGCCGAGGAGTCCATGCAAGTGGAGGCTGCCTGCTCGTTCGTCTACGGTAGTGGCTGATCTTCCGAAGATCGATTCCCGGCCTGTATTCGCCATACTTTTCAAAGAATAGGGATATTCTCAGGAAGAAGATGGCCGAGCTGACTGGATCCATGGTGCTCAGGGCGATCCTGTCGTACTTTTCACGGAGATCGGCCAAAGCCTTCGCAGACTCAATCGTGGAGCCTATGAATGGGTGCTTCATCTTTACCGGGTTATTGATGTCGTTGGGACTGATGGTAATCCAGATTGCAGGCATACCGGCGCGGATGTCCAGAGCTTGTATCTTCCTCCGCATAAGCAAACGGGA